TAAATGTTGAATATTAAATTTGTTTATTATTTGAAAACATAACTTATCTAAGAAGAGAAGAATATAGATTTTTTTAAAATATTTTATAATACACTTCGTAAAATTAGTTAAGTTTTTATATAATTATTTTTCGTCTTCTGTTTTCATCGATAAACAAAGTTTAAATAGTAAAATAACGTCCATTGTTTGTGAAATTATTTGAAAGCATTATTGTTATTTGTATGTGCTTGGTACTGAAAGCTTTTGTGCACTAAGTGTGAAAATTAGGAAAGTACATAATATTTTACAGTTCTAATAATAAATATATGATTTTGATAATTCGATCCTTAAACCACTTCTTTGGAGGAGAAGGATATTAGTAATAGATTGTTCAAATAATCCTTCGTCAAATATAATTTCTTCTTTAAAATCGAAAGAATACCAAAATTTCTCGTTTTTGTCTAGCTATTCTATTGTTTGAGATGATATAAAAGGATCCATATGGTGATCGCGTAACGATAAAATACACAAGAAATTCCATTTGGTATAAAACACCTGGACTATTCGAAAATATTTAAAAACTTCTATAAATTACTATTGAAAGATAATTACCCTGAAACGTACAAAAAGATGGATAGAATTTTGTGATCCAACTTACAATTCATATCGTTATCCATAGTTTCTCAAACAAATATTTTACGAAAAAGCCAGCATATCTATTAAAAAAATTCTTATTATTGAAAAAAATTGCTTATTTACATTTATAAATTTTCAAAAATAAAAGAAATTATATACAAAAGGACTGCGCGTGTTAATAAAATTTTGCTTTTCTTAAATACTTTTCGTGAATGTCTACAGAGAAAAACGTGCAACTGGATTTCGTTTTAATAGACCGACATTATTACCAATGTCACTGGAATATTTAGCACATTAATGCTTCTTTTCCACTTACTATACAAGAAATAGCTCACTCTTCATCTATAATTACTTATTCAATTGTCAACTACATTCATTTATGAAACAGTTCTTATGCAATAATCAACCTGTACCTTTTTTAAAGTAAAAGTCGTGTCTAGTCTTATCTGTGCTTTTACAAAAGTATCTATTCGTTCAAGATATCAGCTGCTTACATCATACAGAACGCTTCGTGAAATTAAACAATGTTCTTCGCGCGGACGACTTCACCCCGATCACGATAATTAATCGCGCAAGTGTACGTGTCCCAGCCGCGCAATTTTCGAACGAGACGTTTTCCTTCCGTACAAATATTTTGCCAGCTGCATCATCACTCGCCGCCGCCGCCGCCGCCGCGTCCTCCACGAGGAACACCTTTCGATTTCGTTTCGTACAGTCGGGCTTGCAAGATGGTCCGTTGGTGTAGCGCGGGTACAGGTACGCGTACCTTGGCATGGGCCACAGATGTTATTGTCATATGGCAGACACACGGCTCCGGGATTCGGAGCCGTAAAACCGCGACTGCAGGTCCACGGAAATCCTGCTGCGGTAACCGGGCAAACCATACCCTTCTACCACTAAGTCATCGTCACGCGAACCAGCCTCGAGAACGCTTCGATTTAATAAGAATGGATGATATTAGAAATTCAGTGTGATTATTAATTTAGAGAAAGGTATATTAATGTTATAATATGAAGTGCAGAATAAACGTTTGTTATATTAATTGATGATTTTTGGAGTACGGGTATTGATTATTATGTAGTTTACAATGAACCTTATTAATATTGTGATTTGAAGTACAGAATAAATGTTTGCTTTGTTGGATACGTTAACTGATGATTTTTGAAGTACGGGTATCGATTATTAGTTTACAATAAACTTTATTAATAATATAATGTGAAGCACTGAATAAATGTTAGTTCTGTCTGATACAGATTATCAATTTCGAATGTTAGTGTAACATTAGAAGAAAATTATTAGAACAGATTGATCATGAAATAAAGAATTGAATAAATCGTAGTTTTTTTTTAATATTATATGTTGCTAAAGTACTTTTTTAACCATGAGTATTGATTTCGACGTAAGTAAAGGGGGATGATAACAATTTTGAACAATTTCTGTTACAATGAACATGTTTGTAATTTAATTTATATTTCTATGAATATTGTCGTACATTTTAATGCAAGGATATCTAGGGAAAGCAATAAGGAAACTAGAAAGTGCTCGAGGATAAAGATGAATACACACAACGAGAAAACTCATCATCCCCCGTTAATAAGTTAAATTTTTATTTTATATCTTAATGGAAAGAAACCTTCAACAGAAGAACCCTAGCAAATTAGAATTTTATGCGTATATTTATTAACATGTTATTAATAATCAACTATTGTTACTATTATTAAAAATGACTTTAATTATAGAAGAAGCATATAATTTCATATCGTACAAAATCCCAGCCCTCAGTTGCAGAACCTTAATGTATTTAAAGTTTTATATTTTTCCTTTTAATAATTACAGTCAATAATTAGACAATAATATAAATAATTTACAACCGTTTAAGTAATTGTTACAATATAATACCATAATTAATCCTTGATTATTTCCATAAACTATTCTACAAAAATCAACCCTTTATCCAAGTATACTTCACGGTACCATTTCCATTAACACAAAAACTTCCAGACGGGTCAGAACAACCCATTCCTAATTTCTTCTTTTTGCAGTTATTAAAAAGATAACAGCTGTTTCTCTGAGCAATTATTAAAAAGATAACAGCTGTTTCTCTGAGCAATTATTAAAAAAATTATTTAGCAATATGCAAACTGAATTATAAAGTAATTGAAGTCTCAATAGATGCACTCTTGAAGTTTCTATAGACGAATTTCAGAAATTCAATTTAACTGCTCGGTAGTATCAGTTAAAACACTTCCGTACACTCCCGACCCCTTAACTTATATTTCTAATTTAATTTAGCTCAGCTTGTATTGTCGCTATATTCATATTCCAACAATCGTAAAACGTATTTTTACGTATGTGTTAATTAAAGCAGCCTCGAAGTATCTTGTGCAAAAGGGGGCAGCGGAAAGTAAGAAACAACAATGCGGAACGCGAAAGGTTAATTTACATTAGCGTCGGATAGTTCCGCTAATGAGTACTGCGGGTTCGCAAAAATCTCGACTGTTATCATTGTTGAAAACAGTCCGGCAAGTTTACGAAACGAGTCGGTCGACCGGCGGACACGTTTCAAACGTGTCCGACTAATTACCAGCGGAAACTGCGACGGGGTCAAAGGTAAGACTTCCGGGGAACGAGGAGGACAGCTCGTAGACGACGCAGCGGCTGTGGTTCAGGGCAGCGACCCAGTTCTCATATGTATTTATACCAGAAGATGCTATGCCGGCTGCGTGTGGCCATTTTCGAGCGGTGTCGGTGGTGAAAGAGAGAGAGACGGGTAAGAGGGAGGAACGCCGGTAAAAGAGAGCCGTCTCGTGCGTCACGAGACGCGCCACGGCGGGCTAATGAATCTGGAAATTTAATTCCGACTCGCGGGAAAACCGATGCACCCGGTGATAGATGAACCTTTCGCCGGGGATTCCGATTTTTCTTGTTAACTCTTCACCGACCACGATTTTTTGACAAATTACTTGCCTCTCCTCTGTAGACAGCTACGTAATTCTTGTATCGATTTCTTAATACTAACCGTACCAGGTCAAATGATCGGATTTAAAATTCTGCGGTTTCCTTTGTTCATTTATATCAATTCCTATGTTGTCCGATTAATTAGTTTTTCAATTTCTGTAAATTGTTTACCTTTGTTTTGTTGCCAGTTATTTGATTGGTTACGGCAGGGAAAGTGATATGGCTAGTGTTAAAATAGATGTGTGATTGTTTTTGGTGTAGCTCGTACGTATGGTGTGCATACAGAATTAAAAGGTATTTTATTTTATTTATTTTATAGATTGTTGTATCTTCTAAATTATTTTACCAAAATTTCCTAGAAAAATTGTTTTAATATTAATAATTTTCAAAAGAACGGCGTAGGAACTCAAACATGTCCAACGAATCAGTTACATTTAAAACGCATAACCGGATTGTTAATACGTTGGCTAGCATGGTGGTCATCGATGACCGGAGCCTCCAAATTACTTGAAGGCAATTGGAAGAAGGAAAGTGATGTCGTATTGAAATATGTAATAACATGAGTAACATAATAACCTTAAGAACCATTATGTAAACCGTTAACACCACTCGTCTTTATTATGAAGGAATAAGTAATGTTATGCAAAACGTTCAAAATTTTCG